ATTGTTTGGCCAATGACAAGGAAATAATTTGAGTAATGGATACTTTGGAAGAATTGATGAGTTTTCAAATGCTTTTAATCTCGATAACCAATGAAAACAGACACACACAACCTCAAACACCTGCAGAGTATTCAGCTTTTCTTAGCACTGTCCCAGTCTGCTCTTCACTGATTTTTGAATATAAACATGCTGGTACAATTTGATTGCTACAGCACTGCCTACAGCTTAAGAGGATAGTGCTGAAGAGTCAAATAACATAATTCAGTAACTCTTTGCAAAAATAGCTTATCAATCGTTATTACTATTTAAAATAAAGATGGATCACCCTTTAGTACTAGTATTTTTTTTTTAAGCTGTGTACATAATTAGTCTCCTAGCTCTTTCAAGAGCCAGCTCCCTTTATCACCACTGTGACCAATACACATGCACTCTTTCCTTGGCAAACTTACCTTAATGCTTAGCAAACACTTTTTACTACTATCATAAAGAAATCTAGCACCAATTAGTCCTCCTACCTGCTAATTTCCTCCTTTTGAAGTTAACAGGGTCAATTAACATTTTTGCAGTTAAAACAGGCAGCTTCCATAATTTTTAATCAGTTCAAAAACATGACTTCAATATGAAAAAAGAACAGATGTAATTAGTAACTAGTAATTCAAATACTGAAAAGCTCCATGTTAAACTATTACTAAAGCTGCAATAGAAATGGCCAAATGCTACATTCATAGAACAAAATCTTTCTCTTGGTGAAAATAACTATCATCCAGGTACAGCAACTAACTGTCCTTTAGAGAAAAATCAGTATTAACAGAATGAAACTCAGAAGACTTAATTAGTTGTAGGTTACTGCAGCTCACCTTCAGGTGATATATCTCATGAATACTGTTCACAAAACACCTAAGCCCCAAACTTCATCAGAATTTGAACCTCCATCTTTGGTGACATGCAGAAAAACTGACCAAGGCCCTTAGCAAGCTGCTCTACACTGGCCGTGTTTTGAGCAGAGGTTTGGCTCAGATGGCCCCTCAGAGTCCCTTTCAGCCTGTATGATCCTATGAATCCATATGTTACAAATTGCAAGGGAAGTGACAAAAAGAAGGGGAAAAAAAAAAAAAAAGAAAAGAAAAACTTCTGGCATAGCTATGCCATGTAATACCTGGAATGCAAAGCAATGTTCTTCAGAACAATATCACAACCAGAGAAGGAAATAAAAACAAGAGCATTAAATACAGCAGTAAATCAAGTATTGGGGGGGGGGGGGGCAGGGAAAGTGCACTAAATATTCCCTTCCCAATTTAAGGTTCCAATACCATTTTGTTTGCTGCCCATCACAACACAATATAAAACCAAAACCTTGAATTTGATGCTTGCAAATGTGAGCAACAGCCACAATGGCCACCTGATTTTAGACTCCAACCAGAAAGCTCTTTTGCTATAAGAGCATACACTTCTTGTATATTTCTGAACACTACTGCCTCAAAAATAAAAACCATTTACAATTTTGTCTTATCTCATAACAGGAATACAAAGCAAATACTAGGATAGAAGCATTACTGGCTACATAAACTGCTGTCCTTTCTCTCTCAGAGGCATTTTACTTGAAAATAGCTATGTTAAAGTACTAATGTCAAAGTTCCCATGCTCATAGCTTTTCTTGGAACAACATCAGGACTTTGAACTCCTTCAATCTGAAATTACGAAGTAACTACTAGACTAAATGGAAGTTGCATAATCAGCCTGAAAGACATTTAAAGTGGCATATTTGAGACTGTTTTCTAAAAAGCATATAAACCCTACTTTAAGTTTTAGAACAGCTTCCTCAACTTTGTTACTCATCTCCAAGCTGAAACACTCCTCTGTTCCCAAGTGAAAAATGAGTATGTAGTTTGATTCTTTACTCAACTTCTGTACACTTTGGAAGAAAACATTAGTTTCAGATTTGTGTCTTAATAGAGCACTAAAATAACTTTCTTCTGTTCAGACTATTGCCACTTTATTTTTTTTTTTTCCTAGATAATTGCTTTTCCATGTATTTTCAAAATGCCAGCACTTAGTAGTTAGGCTAAGTTAGGTTTCAAACACTTTCCAGTTTTTCATACAAGATAACGCATACCTGAAAGATAGTCACTTAATCCTCTACAAGAACTTGATTTCTTGGCTTAAAAGAAAAATCTCTGTACAGTTAGTGAACAAAGGGGAAATTTAAAGTAGATCGACTGCCTTTCTGAGTAGGCAGCAATACTCCCTACATTACTGCTAAAATTATGCTCTTCCAGTTAGTACAAAAGTTATCTTATTTGCTTTTCTAGTTTGTAACTGACACATGCACAAAAATGATGCTTCCGCTTCTAGTGGAAGAAGTGTGATTAAAAGCAGTGATTAGCCAGCTGACCCGTAGATATGTAACAACGACAACAAAAACCCACTCCATAGCAAAAGGACTTCAGACAAATTCAATTCTCCAGCAGATTTTGAGAGATGTTTATTAGTACTTATGGGAGTGTAACTGAAGTCTAGAAAACCCACCAAAAAATCCATATCATTTATGCATAGACATCTACTCAGATCTTTAAGCATGCTCTAACGCTTAAATGACTATAGCCACTATGCTGGTAACAAGATAACATTTGAACTGACTCAAACCAATGCCAGGTTATAGTTTGGTGAAAGGAATTTTATTTCAGATTCAACTCTTCTGAGTGTCGGCCTCACTTCATGAACATACACAAATAAGAGATTCCACTGCACTGCAATATGAACACCAGATTTAGTCTGCCCGTAAAACCAGACAGGCACACTTTTCCTCTTCTCCCCCCCATCACTCACAAGTAGTTAAACTCTGGTGATTCCCTGCCTCCTCCACTGGATTGAAGCCCTTTTAAAATCTACAGCTTCAACTGCAAAAAAAGTTTATTTAAAAGAAACGTTTCAGTTTCTAAATTGCCTATATTAAAGATATCTACATTTCCTCTCCTTGAATATGTTCATATAACCTTTACAATTTTAGATTAAATTCAAACTTGAAGTACATTGCAAAGCTTAATGGAAAGATCTTGAATCTAATTTCTATAAACCTAACATTAGGAGAGATGACAAATTTAAAAACCAAGTGAAGCACCCTTAAAATAAATGTATTAAAATGCATGCTATAAATTTGTCACTATTAGAAAAGTATATATTTAAAGTTCTGTTCAGTTCTGGTAAACCCAAGTTAAAAACTAAAAAAAAAAAAAAAAACCTAAAAGAAAATAAAGGGACCCATAAAAGTAGCAACATAACTAGCAGCCTGGAACAATGATCATATTAGGAAATCTTAAAGGAATTGGGACTGGCTCTAAATTAAGAAAGGAAACTAAAGGATATAATGGCAGGAATATGTAAAATAATGATTGGCACACAGCTATTTTTCCTAACACCTCGCTCTCGTACCACAAAAAAAAGTAGCACTGGCCAATGAAATTGGAAGAAGAAATTTCAAGTTAAATATATAATGTGTAATTAGCTTGTAAACTGCAAGTGACCATTGTACTCAAGACTGCAAAAAAGATTATATGCTTATGTAGGAGGTAACAAGAACATCAACAGCATCACTGTGAAGGGTTAAACTGTACGTGGAATACAATCAACCGTTCAACTGATATGGTCTAGGAAAAACACTACTATGGGCTGGATGTTCCTTAATAACCAACTGCATGACTTTTTGTGAGGCTGTTATTTGTTTTCTTAATTAATCTTCATCTGCTATGCCTATTGCTGATTGCTTTTAGGCACAACATGTCAGATTAAATGGACCATTTCCATTCCTGGCCTTCAATCAAAATTCTCCAAAATGTGGCATTTCTAGCTTATTTTTAACCATGATCGCCACTGGGATTCTTTCACTACGTATATTTTATTTATCTTTTGTGCAGGCATGAAAACAGACATTTTATTTTTAGCTCTGATAAATGAAAGAAATTAACTTTGAGAACATTCCATTCCTCCTGCAATTAAACAATGAAAACAGAACTAAAACGTAACTCTCAGCTCATGTGTTATTGCAGCACTACTTCGTTACTTTAAGAATGAAATTTCAAAAGCTTAGTAATCATTTCCATGCTGAAATCCCTGAACAGTTTGAAAACTTGGATAGCCTTTTGTCACCCTACCATCAGTACATTAAAATCTCGAACTCTTTACAGACACTGCACGATTTCCCTTCATCTCCTATTTATGTATTTGAAAGAATAAGAAACATTTTTGGTACAAAACAGTAGTCCTATCAAGAGTTCCAATATTTCAATCAAACCCCATTCTCCTGGTGAAATAAGAAGCCCTGCAAACAAATTTTTAAACTATCTGATTTCAACAACAAATGTCAGAAATGTACTTAAAAACCATTTGTGCCAAGTTTTGAAGCTCTTAAAAATGGAGAGTTGTATTCCTTTTTTTCATATTCTGTAATATCTGAATTTATTGTAGGCTTTTAGGGGAAGCCTTATTTAAAATAAATTATAAGGGACCTCCCATGCAGAATCTAAAAGGATCTATAGAGCAGGTAAAATGGAGATCATATACTTGTATACATACTGTTGATCTTGATGCACATTTATCCTGCAGCATAATGTTAAAATAAGTGATAACTGAAGAGATTTGGAAAAAAATTACAAAATCAAAATCATAAAAATCAAGAGTTTCAATATGTTGTCAATCACTTTCTAACAGTGTCTGCTAATAAAGTAAAAAAAATTCAAATAATTAGTTTAAGGTATTTTAAGTTCTCACATTTAGTAAGTAAAAATATAAAATGCTTTCTGTTTAATACACTTTGATTAAACAACTTTACAATACGTAAATAAATACAACATGAGCAGCCTTACTATTTCAATCAAAATGTTACTACTTTAATAAACGGCATCATGATTACACAATCCACAATTGCTAAAAATGATGATGCCCATTTAGATCACAAATACAAAACCTAAAAGAGCAAACAAAACCAAAGGAGAATCAAATCTTACCCATTCTTGAAATATAAAACATGTGCTCTTTGAAGTCCTGTTTCCAAGAAAAAACCAAGTTCTTGTTCATGTGCAGTGGGCCCTGGCTTAGGGCTTCTGTTTTGTATATTGGCATTAATTACCTAAGAGAACAAAATAAAAAGGAAAAAAATGTATTTAGAAAAAAAAAATCAAGCTCTGTGGACTTTTACACAGAGGCTAATACTTAATGTTGGAGAATTCTTTTTCATTTTTAGGCATGGGCTAGTAGCATTTCTATCCTTACCTCCATTCCCACCTCAATATAAATATTTTTGCTCTTGGCTATATCCTTAAAGGTAATTTCTTCACCAAGCAGAAATACCACTAAGAAAAATTTTATAATACTTTTTCAGAAATTTTTGTGAAGAGTGGTATACAAACAAGAAGTGCATGAAAAAGCATATTTGCAACCTTATTCAGCAGCAGGAGGTGATGCTAGTCAACATCTAAAACCCTGTTAGGTTAGGAAAGACTGCTGCAGAAAGCAGAAAGATTAAAAGTGATTTCCAGAGTGATTTAGAAAAAAACAATTTAGAAATAACTTAATTTGTATTACATCAACATTAAAAACACACTCTCAAAATGAAGAGCTATCAGGTTTCATCTGCCTTCATATTCACCATACATAGTCTACCAGCCACTAAAAGACAGTAACAAAACAAAAAACCCAAAGCAAAAAAAAAAAAAACTGAAAAAAAAATGCGTATGTATTTGAAAAACAGTGGGAATTACTTTTTTGCCCTATCACATCATCCTTTTCTTTCCCCTTCCTTTTGCTTGCGTGGCCCTAACTGTATCTAATAACCCCTTCAAAGACAACTGTCAAATGCCAGGCCTGAGGCTTGTAAGCAATAGGCCTGAAAAAGAGGGTCGGATTGATATTGCTAGCTTGCTTCATTCTACTAGTATTCACAAGCCAAAGAACAGAGCCCCAAGTGTATTCTTTTGTCCAGACATATCTCAAAGTCTAAATAAAATGCAGTAGTGTGTAACTCCTAGAAACAAAGGACACTAGAAATTTTCTTTTCTTTAAAAAAAAAGTATTTGTAACACTTGAAGAGCTTCTCCTAAGTGGTAAGAAACAGAAGACAATGTTAATGGTGTGAATGAAAAAAAGAGGAGGAAATAAAAGGGCCTATGTATCCCTTTAAATTCAGATAAAGCCTGAAGCTTTTAAATCATGAAGTGTTATGGTCTGTACAAATAAAGAGCCTAACTTTAACTTTCCATAATTCATAATCCATAACTTATAAAATGGGGGGAAAAAAAAAGAAAAGTAACTTGCCTAATATTCTGCAGAGCTGTTTGTAGGTTATATTTTGTCAACATTAAGAAGCTCAGATATATCAGCTTTCATCACTAAAAAACAGGTCTTCTATATATCTAGTACCTCAGATTTTTTGCTACCTTTCTACTCATACGTAGTATGAAAAGTAGAGCAACTCTGGAGTCCAGATTCAGATGTAGACAACTGTCTCCTTTAGGAAAAAATATCCAAGTACTTTTAACAGTAACTGTAGTTTCATACATAAAGTGAGTAATATATTAATGAGATAAAATGACAAATGGGCTATCAAGTCCAAGAACATTGTCCTGATCCAATTTATAGAACTATCAATATTTGTCTCAAGTTCACCTGTATTTTAAAAACATACGTTTATCTGGCTATCATATCTGGTGATTTTTTCATTGTCCCAGGATTGTGCCTATTAGTTGAAGCAAACACACTTTCAGTTACTATTCTGGACACCCCACTGATACATCAAGGATCTTGTTGACAGGTACAAAGTTATTTCAGAATTTTACCTTTAAGTAGTTTTATAAAGAGGATTTAAGAGCAGTGAAGTTTTTGTCTCCAAATAAACATCAACAAGATCAATTTTCAATCTTCATTGCTTCATTTTGAAATGAATTCTTTTTAAGAATTATCTGAAAAGCTAGTAAGCGTATACACACAATATACGTATTCCCACATGTGTGTTTGAAAGACACCATAATCCATGTTCATAAATGAACTACCATAGGGTAACAGAGGCCACAGACCAGCATCTTCAATATACATAGTAGCTCAGAGGAGCTCTGTCCCTTTTTAGACTACTAGCACTATTTTCTAAGAGGTCAGAATGAGAGAACTGTCAGAAGGACAGCTACCAGACATCCATTAAGGCACACTTACTTATTGCCCAATTGTAAGTGTGCATTGAAGTCCTAAGAAAACAAATATCAGACATCTTTTAATTGAGTTACCAAAATGCTGGTAACACCACATCAATGAAAGATGACCAACACAATTCTTCAATGAAGCAAATCATCCCAGCTTACCCTTTCTATCTCCTGAAGGTACAGAAGAGCAATATCCCCAGCCTTCTCGTAGCATGTAACAATTTCTTGTTCACGATCCACATGGAGGTTGCTAGCTGAAGAAGAAATTGGCAACTTCTCAAGACAGAGACCTTAAAAAAAAGAAGAAAAGAAAAAAATTCAAATGAAGCATTAAAAACTAACATCATATAATACTATACCTCAAAAATAGTCCAGGCTAAGCCCCTTTGATCAGGAGAAGAAACAAAGGAAAAAAGTTACCAAAACTTATGAAGGTATGGTCCTCTGATAGAGACAGTAATAAATATATAAATAACAGTGACTCCTCCTTAATAATAAAATCAGAAGCAGCAATTTTTTTTAAATCAATTTTGATTTAAAAGACATTATGACAGCCTACCACAGAAGTGCCTAGTGTCTTTCTATACCAGTTTTAAATTACTGAATACATCTTCACTTTTCCAGAGTGATCAAAGAAACCAAGGCAGGGTGAAGAAAAGCACTCAAGGTAATACTTAACTTAGTAACTGTGCAAGGCAGAAGCACCTATAAAAACAAATACATTTTCAAAAAAATAAGGGGTTAGGAAGTGTAATTTTTGTATTTAAATTTAGTAAGAGGTAGCTTGCTCTCATCAAGGCACAGAAGTCTTTTCCTCTCAAATAACAAATACATTATCTGGTGCTTTGAAGGAAAAAAAAGAAGTGTTTGCTTGTCTAAAATAAAAACCCAACAACTCTTACTGATCAATACTGCCTTCTATACAAGCCACTTCTATTACAGTTATTTTCAAGATAATTAGAGAAAACAGCTGGAAAGGACTTCAAGAACATTAATCCATCTATCTGACCAGGGAATCAACCAAGCCCAGCCACTTGCCTAACCAGTTCTTAAAAGCCTCTGACAATAGGGATGCCTTGGCCTTCCTATGCAAATTATTATAGAGCTCAACTATTCTCACAATTAGTATTTTTTCTTAATATCTACATCTCCCTCCCTAGATGAATTACTCCTAGTCTTCTTCACAGAGAGATTATTCCTTCCTTTACAAAACGTTTTTTCAATGTTTATCTAGAGAAAAAGAGACATGCTTGCAACGAAGAATGTCAATTCTCACTCATTTCTCTTTTCATGCTTCCTTGGCAGCTAATCATTTTTATCTCCTCTGGACACTCTCCATCTGGTTACCTCTATCTTGATTCACTGTGCCAAAACTGGATACATGGCTCCACTTGAGCCTCAATAGCACTGAGCACGGCTTCCTGATTTTGATACAGGATACTTAAAAAAAAAAATAATAATACAAATCAGCAGAACCTTAGTGCCTTCCCTTACGTATTAGTAAAACATTCTCTTCTGTTTATGATCTGCAACAGATCACCAGATCATATTCTGCAAGCCAACTGCCTCATCAGTTACCCTATCTTACATTTATTTAAATAATTATTTGTATTTGAAGTGTAGCCTTTCCACATGTTCTTAAGAGATTTATTTCAGGTCATTCTTCCAGCTTGTCAGCAGTCAATGCTGATTCTAAAGTGCCTTCAACTGCTCCCACATTAATATAATTAACAGTTTAAATGACCACAGTCTCAATTCGTCATCCAAGGTTTTGAGAATCCATTGCTGGAGAAACTAAAAACAAAAACAACAACAAAACACACAGTTATATATTGGGCAGATGCCTGTAGAATGCCAGGTAGTACAAAACCCCAGTTTGGAGAATAGTTTATCAAAGGATTTCTGTCCATCAATAATGTAAGGTGGGGACAGTATGTTTCATTGGAATGACAATAGTTTTCCTACTAAAACAACTTGGGAAGACACAAACATGGAATATGGAGTTTATTCATTGATAAACTCAAACTATACAATATTTGTGACCTGCAGATTCTTTTAAAACATCTATTAAGTTTCTGTATCTCCCTGTAGACGTATAACTCATCTGTATAAAAAACCATCAAGCTGTACTTCTGGCTTGAGAGGATGCCTTAAGTCTGTATCAGAGTTTGTTTGCCACCTTTACCCTCCAATCCACCCTTTTACCAGTACAAACAACATATACCCTACAGCTCTATTTGCCAGCTGTACATCCAGTTAAGACAAATTCCTGACTCCAGTACTAACTGCTCTGCTAAAGACAAAATACAATTCAATATACTGTTCAAAAACCTACACATTCCTGAAGAGCAGCAAACACATAAGCAGTCTGTCATTTAAAAACCTGCCAAACTGGAGTACAACAGACACTGGACTTTTCTAACACATTATGGTTTTCACTTAACATATCTCTAAAAATATATTTTAAAATACTCTACAGTAGCCTACGCTAATGTGCTTTCTTTCAATTTTTCAATCAAATAGCAAATATCCGACAGGGTTTTTTGCTAATTTGAAGTCACAGACCCAAAAGCAGCAATATTAAACTATAGAAAAAGGTCAGTTTTTCTGCTACTGCAGTAGGCTTGAACTGATCCTCTGATAAGAAGATCTAAATGTAAGGTTGATGCTGGATAGAAAGTTTGCAGTGTCCTACACAAGCACCTTCAAAGTCAGGCTTAGAGGTGATCATAAAATACAATAAATGAACTGCAATAAAAATGTCAAATGACTGAAAGCATCAGATAGTTGGTAAGTGGATCACTCCTCCCCACCCCTTCTCTCCCATGACATGGACAGCCAGTACCCCACAGTAATCTTCCACTACGTGAAACATATTACTCAACTGCCTACTTGTAGATTTGACTTGGATTTATTATTTCTATTTTTATACTTTATGGCCACAACTATAATCTTTTTAATCTGAAAAACTCACTGTAAGAACATTCTCTCATTTTAGCTGAAAATTTTCTTTAAGATATGAAAGCACCTCAGTGCTCTGTGAGAAACTTTAAGTAATGCAGAAGGGAAGTACACAATTCTAAGTGTGCTTTGAAGTATATACTACTATTTCTTAGGGTAACTTCATTATATAACTAGTATTCACTGTATTTTTGCTGGTATGTTTATTACAACCCAGGAAAGTATGTCTATTTTAAGCATGCAATGCTTTGGAGCAGTAAGTTCATTTGGAGAACTATCCTGAAATGACCACTTAACAGGATGATTTGGACACTTTATTTGGTTTGATGACACAAGGCATAATTACAATTCAATACTGTATTAAAAATGAAAATGTATCAACTAGAAGAAAAACCTGGAATTAATTATTATTTCTGTAATAGGTAACTTGTTTAATTTTTTTCTTAAATACAGATGAAATTTAAGAAATAATGTATTAAAGTACATAAAAGTAGTTTTTAATTAAAAATAGATATAAACAGCAACATAGCAATAACAACCACATAATATACTGCCCACTTCTTCATAAGAATACTGAGAGATTATAAAAAGTGAATTAAAATAAGGGATTATTATATTAAGCCCTTGAGAAAAGAACAAGCAAGTGGTAACACACAACTGAGAAACACATGAATTTCAAAGTAGTACATATCACCCTAAATTATCTGCTGAAGACTATTGCATATATTCAGACAGGTCAGTTCTCCCCTTTGTGCTTGTTCCCACATCTTCCAGGCAGGAATCTCTGCTATTTTCCCTCAAAAGGGCAGGAATTTCTTTAACTGTTTATAAACTTTTTTGAGATATTTGGAAAAGAGGTACATGTTACTTCTACAAAATATTACTGCATTTGTTGTAAAGGTCATAGCTATTAGTTTATTTAATTTTTATTGGTTATTTCATTTTATTCTGCATTCAAGAATATCACATCAATTGGTATCACACGTTGACTTTGATATTCATGGCTTTTAAGTTTAAGCCCTTCCAGTCAAAATCACCTTCAAGTAAAAGCTTTCAACAAACTGGGTCAGTTTTATTTTGGGAAGACACTTATCTCATACATATCTAGTCTTGATATCAAGCAAGATGACTCCTGAGGGAAAAGAAATTGAGAAGCAGTGAAATGAATACGAGTCCATACTAGGTAAGCTTACATGTTTTGCAAAGTAACTCTAAAATTGCTTGTCTAAAGAGTAGAACAGCAACAAACAGTATTTGGACAAGAAAAGAGTACGCCTGATATTTAAATTATATGACCAATTGTGAAGATTTTCTTTAAATCTTTAAAAACTTTATAAATTGTCCATATTTTATAAAAGATTTGGAAAGCAAACAGTAAATAGTTTTGTCACTTATTCCAAGTGGCATTCTTGTGCCTATGGTCTCAAAGCAGTGGTCAAGGTTATGCCAAGTAAACTACTTCATTTTTACAAATACAAGAGCAGACCAGCCCTACCACCACATATGCACACACTAACCACTACCCAAAAAAGAGGATTCCTCAGTAAGAACAAGCAACAAACTAGCAATTTTTAAGAAGTCCCCATGCAATAGATTTGCTTATTCTTAGATAACCAACTGTTTTTATGTTAAGGACAATGACAGAAATTACTTTTCATTTACAAACCACTTAAAAAAAAAGCAGACGTATAGCTTCCGTAGGAAAACTAACACTCCCATTTCATTATACAGAGTAAAACAAAAATTACTCTAAGGTCAAAAGTGAATTCACAGCACAGTTCAGACCTTTACCAAGTACTCCTATCACCCAGACCACTACTGAGACTATTAAAAAAAAAAAAATCCCACAAGGCTGAGAAAAGCCTATCACATTTACTGCATTGTATAGCTGAGGATTTTCCCAGGTACCAGACAGTACCTTGGCTGTGTAAGTGCTACTAAATTTTAGAGACCACAAATAATAACAGATCTCATGGTTTACCTACTGTTTTCAGTACACGAGCCAAAGGACAGAGGAAAAACAGTGAAAGACCATTTTATACTTCAGTAAATAAACATGCTTTTGCAAGAGAGGAAGAGTCGCATCAGTAAACAAAGACTTCTGGGTTTGCTTCCTGGTTTCCTTAAATGGATACATAAAATCCAAGTGTGTTTTAGTATACAGCACTTACTCTTCCCTATGTGATACGCAAAGCAACACTGGTAAGCGTTCCAAATGCTGTAAACACAAAAAAACCCTTTCATCTCCTTTTAAAGAAACTTCACATTTAGCTTATATATTTAGAACAAACAATTATATAGACTACAGCAAACTTTTATGAGTCATTTT